TGCTGCTTTTCAAATCTTTTGTGTTTGTTTTTCTTATTCTTTCATCTTCTTTATTTCAATACCAGTCTTCTATGGTGCCTACTTTTCTTCCCAATGCCAGCAATGTGTGTGTATGTGTGTGGGGCTGTGTGCTTCTTACACAATCAATTAGCATGTTGTAAAGCCAAATAACAAATTAAGTTTTTTATGAACAGAAACACAGCAATTTGCAGGCAGCCACAGTCCTTTTGAATATTATTGCACACTGACCTGTATGAATTCAGTAGTGTCAGTTGTCCAAGACCATATTGCTCTCAATGATTTAAAGTTTAAACCTCTCAATGATTTAAAGTGTACACTGAACAACTTCAAAAGTGTTCAACAATTTTGTTATACAACATGAATTTTCAAGCCCTAAGATTTTAATTTCCTAGGGGGATAAAGCAAAGGTAAAGATTTCCCCTGTCCAGTCATGTCCAACTCTAGGGGTGATACTCATCACCTTGTTACTGAGGAAGCCAGCATTGTCTGAATGCATTTTGTGGTCATGTGGCCACCACAACTAAATGTCAAGGTACAAGGAATGCTGTTACTTTCCCACCAAAGTGGTACCTATTTATCTACTCACGTTTGCATGTTTGCATGCACTAAACTGGCAGATGCTGGGGCAAGTAATGAGAGCTCACCCTGTTGCACAGTGCTCGGGTCTCGAGCCTAGGCTGTCAGGTTTACAACTGACAAGCTCAGCTACTTTTAAGGAAAAATAGAAATACTGGCCTTTGTTAAGAATACATTACAAGTCATAGCTGATATTACCCAGTAATTCTGGACTTGTGCAAAACCTTTCCAATTAGAACAATTTTTATTTCAAAATGCTCCACTTTGAGTTGAAAACAGCAGCTTTGAGCTTCAATCACCTGTTTTGCATTTAAAAGAGACTATTTGGGTAATTTTGAAGTATTTCAAGCTTGAGATGGATGTACGGATGTTTTTCAGTTTTGGAAAACTTTCAAGTCTACACCATCTTATTTGAAATTCAAAGTTGTTGTCTCTGGTTTCAAATACTACTAAGTGCTGTATCTTATTCTTGTCCTGTTTCAAGTGCATTCAAAATCTATGTGTCAACACAAATTGTGTCAAAAGAGCCTTTCTCTACATGTATTTCCTTTAATGATAGAAAATGTTACAAACTAAACTTCTCCATCTAGGTTTCTGTTGTGACTCAGCAGATGTCTTCTGTGAGTCTTTTTGGGATACAAGATTCATTACGCACCTGGGACTTGTTAGGGGCAGGTTTGGAGATAAAAGGACGGATGCTGCCATGCCCCAGTCGCAGGAGTCAACGTTCCTTCGTGCGTTCCTTGTTTGGTACAACATTGCCTGATCATCAATCGTGGTTTATGGAAGATACACTTGGATAAGTGCTTTGTGTTTTCTGTAATCCTGATTCAAGGCTACACTTGGAGAAGTGCATTGCTTGTAAGAGTTGTTTTGTATTCTGTATTTTTGGGCTTGAAGCCAGTCTGAGCTGAGAACTGATAAAGACAGACTTCCTTTTAAGTTTGTCTGCTTGCCGTTTGTTAAGAGCCGTGAAGGGAGGACAGAACAGTTTCATATCATTTAAATTCTGCTTCCATGTTTAGTCTAATTATAAAAATTGAACAGCTGTTAATTGACATCTGCTCTTAGGTTAGGCTCTGTACCTAGGTTAAAGCTATTGTACTTTATTATATGTCCAGGTAGCCACCCATTGAGTTGTGTTATAAATTTTAATTACTGTTTGGATGAATATGCAAATGTTTATTCTTTCAGGATTTGTTTCAAGTTTTTGTTCATACCCCAGAAACAAGGAGGAAAAAGTGTCAGTAATAATAATGTCTCCAAAAGGTTTCTTCCGTAATCTGCTTCTTTTCAGTATATGCAATATAACACCATTGTCTTCCCTGAAATGATTTTTCCAACTTGTCCTCTCCAATTTTGTAATCGGCATCTAATAACCCTCACAAATTATGCTCACTTCCATGCTATTTAAATAAAAGGAATCATTTATTTCAATTTAAGGCAATCCAATAGAAACCATATTACATCAAACATTCAACATAGAATATCATAGCATAAAAGAGATAAAAGTCATTGCCATGCAAATAAAAAGAGCTTTGAATGGAAAAAGAAAATGAGATAGGTGAAAACATGCCGGGTGACTGTAAAAAAATTAGGTAAGTAGATGATATTTTGATCTGGGCAATAGACTGCATGTTCAACAGCCTTACTTCATGTCTTCAAAATATTGCCTTAAAAAAATTGTCACTGTTTTCTTTACAACTCAGAGCTATTCTATGGGGCTGAAATTCAGTACTTTCACCCACCTAAAAAGCTGATTTTTATGTCAGATATTTTTCTCTCGCAAGCATTGCCTCTTTACTCAATGGAGCACCAGTTTGCATGATGTAGGTTTTCTTGCTCTTCCACTCACAAGACTGTTCTGACATGCTTTACCATGCTTTTACATTTATGCAGTACAGAGAACTGCAGAGTAAATAATATCCACCAGTTGCACTTTTACTGATGTCAGCAATGCACAGACAGAAGACGGGGTACAACCAGCATGCACAGACATTCTGCTCATTCAGTATTTGGGCAACAATTTTTCCCACTGTCTCCTTTGGAAGCTTTTCATTCTGAAAAAGGACAGGGAGGGTGAGAGAAATGTCTGCATAGCGCTAAGACAAAGAAATTAATTTCTTTTGAGGGTTGGAAGACCATATAGCTGTGCAAGTTACATTTTTGGGATATAATCCACAGCCAAAAGCAAAGTGAAAAATAGAACTCTCATTCACGGTAAATAGTTCAGGATTTGTCCCTGAGTTTATGTCATTCAGCATATGGGATGGGTAGTTTTACATAATAGTTCCAGCCTTAGTCCAAGAATTTCTAGCTGAAGTTAATTTCACCAACTAGTTGGGGGTCAACAGAGGATCAAGATTGAGCAGACTCTCAATCATTATCAGCTGCCTAAATCCAGCAATTTTCAGTAAGCACAAAAAGAACCCCACTATTGAACATTTTTTAAAATGTTGACTAGTTTATGGGTAAGACAACCACTAGCACAGAATGGGTTTTATAAAGATAAGTGGCAAAGTAAAACCACTTAGACAACCATAAACTGGATCCAACATAGCCAAAATGCTAAGAACGGACACTGCATGTCTTTTCTCCTAATTCTGTATCACATCTCTGTTGGTGCAATAATGTAATCAATGAAGGCATCTTTGATTTGATAGGGTTTTCTTCTTTCATTCCAGTCCCTGGGTTAATCTGCCTTGTTCCAATTTACTTGATGGTTATATTTAGCAATAGCACTTAAACTTATATACAGCTTTTCAGTGCTTTACAGCCCTCTCTAAGCGGTTTAAAGAGTCAGCCTATTGCCTCAACAATCTGGGTCCTCATTTTACCCACCTCAGAAGGATGGAAGGCTGAAGGGATTTGATCTGCCAAATTGCAGGCAGTAAGCAATCAGCAGAAGTCGCCTGCAATACTACACTCTAACCACTGCGCCACCACGGTTCTTTGTCAGAAATTACCTGAAAGACATCATGTCTAGTAATAATTAGGACACTGGGCTTCAACAGAAGTTTGCGATATCCTGTTGTTATTCCTATTAACAGTGGAAAGTGTCTTATTTCAGGTACATGAGATATTGTAAGCAGAGGAACTTCTAGATCACAACTGCCATGGACCAACTAGTTCATATGATCTCACATGTTGTTAAGTGTGCAAACTCCTTTGTCCTTCACATCAGTAGGGTGAAATTACAGCTCCCACCATTCTTTCTGTGGCCCTCATGACCCAGTAGAGCAAGAGTGCCCAAATCCTTGAATTTTCATTCACACTGGGGATAAAATAGATGCCTTAAACCTTCATGTTTATGGCACTCGTGGCATTATTCCTTATATTCCCTGAATCTTCTCCCAAAATAGCCCCTGAATCCACCCATTTTGGAAGTATGTGCTGTGCAAAGACCAACATGGCTGATGGGCTAATCGAAGATGCACACGCTTGCCATACAAATTGGAGAAGTTGAATGATGTTCCAGTATATAGAGTCTGAGAATCTCTAAGATGTTAACAGTACCTTTTGATTAACCCTAAACAAATTAATTGTAGGACAAGAAAGTGCCTTGCAACTTGTATCAGATTTTTTTTTACCACTCTAAAGGAGACAGCTGGGTATAACTGCTCAGCTGCTGCTTAATACCTCTCTCACTCTCTCTACAATTGAGCAAAATACCAGCCAGCTGCAATGCAAATCTTATTAACAGATCAGAAAGATTCAAAGAGCGAGTTCTCTGAAGTGGACCTTCTTTGAACTTCTACAAAGCAGTCAGTTAAAGGGGGTGGTGGTGGAGGAATATTTGAGATGCTCCAAATGATTAAGCAAAGTAGTACATACTTTGAGAAATTAGAATCAACATTTGAAAAGTGGATGCTTCAGCATAATTTTGGCCTATATAATCAATATATTCAAATCCTCAGAAACTTCCATTCTTGCACTTAACCCTGAGAAGGAACAGCGCATAATCTTTGATTTCATTTCTGATCTCTGCCGTTCTCCTTCCTACCTTCTGGGAACAATTTAGATACCATCATTGGAGAGAGAACTGTTCCCTAGCTAGTTATGCTATGGAAAGAGAACACCAACTACCAGTTGTATAATTGGATCATAATAAAAGGTAAAGGTAAAGGTTCCCCTCGCACATATGTGCTAGTCATTCTGAACTCTAGGGGGCGGTGCTCATCTCTGTTTCAAAGCCGAAGAGCCAGCGCTGTCCAAAGACGTCTCCGTGGTCACGTGGATGGCATGACTCAACGCCAAAGGCACACAGAACGCTGTTACCTTCCCACCAAAGATGGTCCCTATTTTTCTACTTGCACTTTTACATGCTTTCAAACTGCTAGGTGGGCAGGAGCTGGGACAAATAATGGGAGCTCACTCCATTATGCGGCGCTAGGGATTCAAACCACTGAACTGCCAACCTTTCTGATCGACAAACTCAGCGTCTTAGCCACAGAGCCACCACATCCCTATGGATCATAATAGAAATGCAAAAATTGGAGAACTGGAAGGAATCTTAAGATGGGCAAACAATGATGAGTAAGAGGAAGTTTACTTGCTGCCTCCGAGGGAAATTATTCATGAGCAGAATCCAAAGAGGCTTTCTGTCTGGTCTTAGTGAAAAGATTGGACTATCTGCCTGGCTAAGCATAATGTGGCTCATAGGGTCTCCATCACTGCAGGTTTTCAAGCAAAGCTTGAATAGCCATTTATCAGGGATGGCAAGAGGATTTCTGCCCTAAGGTTGAAGATCTCCACAATCCCTTCAAACTTTCCTCCAGAAAAGAATGAACTGTTGAGAAATTGCTGGGGACTCTGTACTGGATTGCATTTGCAAATTATGAAATTTGGATAGTTTCATGTTTTCATGTGGCAGCTCTACATTTGCTCTGAATGAGTAGATTGTTGTTAATGTTTTATATTGCTAACCTGCTAGGCAAAACTGCAATAAGGTATTTAAACAAATCTGGCTCAGTTTTAATTTTCTTCTCTGATGTTCCAAATACATCATTAATGCCCCACACAGAAATGTCAGATATCAAAGTCAAGAGAGAAATTGGTTTCCAGGTAGATACCGGAAACTGCAGCTTTAGAAAAATTAAGATATACTAATAAACAATCCAAGCCTGCACAAATATTGCCAAAGCAGATTTACAAACAATGAAGGGAATTGGGCAAGCTAGGGATGGGGTTCAGTACAAGAAATAGTAGCAGCACCAACAGGACATCAAACAGATACTCAATCACAATATTTAGCCTGCCAAGTCAATCCAGAAGTTGAGCTGTTACGAAGGAAAGACAGAAGGCCTAATGTGGCAGGCAGATGATACACAGGTTATAAAAAATTCCAATAATTCAAAACTTCTTGATGCTGGAAGGGGGAGGGGAAAGGGATGCTTGGAAGATTTATGGAAATCCATCACATATACCATAAGCAAAATGAATCATGTAACTTCCCGAAGACATACTAGACTCCATCTTGGTTACTTTGAGGAAAGGAAATGAGGACGCTTGCCTATGATTGAGTGTGTCCATTTTTTAAAAAAACACCCCCTCCCATTTTTGCTGTTTCCCAAATGGAAATGTCTGTGAGTTAAACACATCGTTATGCTAACATTTCAGCATAAACAGTTCTCAATATGAACTTTTTGGAAAAAGAACACGTTGTGGATTTTCTCACTCTGGTGTCGATCCTGCCTGGATCACTGGCCCCAGAAAACAGATAAGTAGACCCCGAAGAGTGACTAGGTGTTTCGATGCTTCTCTCTCTCTCTCTTTCTCTCTCAAATTACTCTTTTCTTTCCCGATCTTCAGATTTCGGTCTGAAGGGTGTGGCTTGAGGGAGAGTAAGGAGGTGGAGCTGGATTAGGCTTGATGCCACGCCCCTTCATGTAGGAGATGAACTGATCTGGAATCTCAGCCAGCACGTCCTTAGCCAACCGTGCCATACTCAAGACGTGGTTTCCTGTGCGGTCAATGTAATCACGGAACGGTACAAACTGAGAGAGAGAGATATCAACATATATACATATATATATATATATCTTTATAATCATTTATTTCTCAGCATCACAGAGTAATCTAAAAGGTAACTATGCATTTAAATACTCCAGCTCAGTGGTGGGAGTCAACCAGTGTAACAACCGGTTCATTTAGTGCGTGCTTTGCGCGCGCTCAGTTCGTTTCAAAACAGCTCTAAAACTTACCTTCTACTGCAGCCCAGGTGAGTAAAACAGCTGAGGCGCGGCAATCCGCTCTGCCACACCTATCAGCTGGGCTTCAAACAAAGGAAATATAGGACAGACTAGTGCAGGGGTGGGTGGGCGGGGCCATCTGATTGCTGGAACTACTGGTTCGCACAAACCAGTCCAAACCGGCTGAGTCCCATCCCTGCTCCAGCTACTTATTGTGCTCAAACTTCCCAGCTAAATTCAATAGAGACAGAATTTTTTAAAGAAAATTCACTAACCTTAGATAAATTAAAATAAGTGGTCAGGCTATGCCTCATAATGGCCAAGGACTTGATATCCCCATAATTATTAAATTCTCTTTAAAATACTAGATAGAACATCTTAGGGGGCTAGTCAGGAATGGGGAGTTATTTATACTAGTTTGATAAGGGTATTTTTTTACTGCTGGCCATGTCTATAACAATAATCCTTTAGTGAGCATCCCCCATTGTCATCCTTGCAAATTCAAAACTGGCTACAGTATCAAAAGTTATCTCTGTTTAATTCCTCTTTGAGTGTAAACAAAAATTAGGACTACAAGAACTACTTTATACCACAACAAATCTTTGTCTATCAACTCTCCTGTGTTCCATGTAGGCAACTTTTATATCAAAATTAAATTTGGAGATTTCTCTTTGTAAACACGTATTCTCCCAAAGAGCTCTTATTCTGGGAGTTTGTTTCCTTTCCATAGTGATCCAAAACTAGAATGTTTCAGTGTCCATTAGATTGTGTAGGCTGTGGAAAAGAAAACTATTTACCCAGCACTTGACACATTTTGTTCAGGGAACTTGCAAGGTGGCTATTGTTGGCCACACACAATCTGAGATTTGAATATTCTAAAAACTTTAGGAAAAAACCTCCCTGAGAAACGACCTGGCTTTCAAGATTGGAGATTCATCTTTCCAGCAAAGCTTACAATTCCATATTGGCTAGTGAATGTGCACCATAAAGCTTCACTGTTCTCTTCTAAATACCTGGACAATATCACGTTCAGCAGTCCTTCCACGAGATGTGATCCGAACGTCATCTCCATCTAATTCCACCATTGCTGTCCATTGGAGGAAGGGAAAAGGAATGTTTATCAAAAATTAAACATCCAAAGGGAACAAGACAGTGAAGAGCCAAAAGCTCCAAAATTTGCTTGTGCCACAAACAACTGATAGCTTAATTACTGGGGGAGACTTTATAAAAAATAGCATTACTCTTTTCTTTCAAAGAGTTGAACTGGAATCATATACTGAATATTCTCTTTGCATGTTGCAACTTGCTTTCTTAATGAACCAATCAATGTGAGGTCCCCTTTTTCGCCACAAAGCATAATTAAGTCATTACACTTTACCTGTTGAATTGCGTTATTCAGATTTTCAGCAAATTATAGTTCTTGCACAGAAGACTATCAATAGGAGGCTTAAAAGTTGTTAATTGGAAGCTCAAGCAAATACATGACAGATTTTAACAGCTGCTCTGCAGAGCCTTAAATGCTGCATATACTTTATTTGACAAATCATATTTCATTAAAAGAAGCTAGGATGTCTGCGCCGAGGTGGCGCAGTAGTTAGGGTGCAGTACTACAGGCCACTTCAGCTGACTGTTATCTGCAGTTCAACGGTTCAAATCTCACTGGCTCAAGGTTGACTCAGCCTTTCATCCTTCTGAGGTGGGTGAAATGAGGACCCAGACTGTGGGGGCGATATGCTGACTCTGTAAACCGCTTAGAGAGGGCTGAAAGCCCTATGAATGCGATATATAAGTCTAACTGCTATTGCTATTGCTATAAGTATAAATATGATTATGAATACAGGAAATGGATACAAATAAATGGGGGACAGTAGGACAGGGCGGTAGGCACGTTGGTGCGCTTATGCATGCCCCTTACAGACCTCTTAGGAATGGGGAGAGGTCAACAGTAGACAGCCTAAGGTTAAAGTTTTGGAGCTTTGGGGAAGAAACCACAGAGTCAGGTAATACATTCCAGGCATTGACCGCTCTGTTGCTGAAGTCCTATTTTCTGCAATCGAGTTTGGAAAGGTTTACCTTAGGTTTGTATTTATTGTGTGCTGGTGTATGGTTGCGGTTGAAGCTAAAGTAGCCATTGACAGGTAGGATGTTGTAGCCAATAATTTTGTGTACTTTGCTTAGGTCA